GAAACGCAAGTGCAGGCTTACACAATTGTTGAAGATAAATATTCGTCATTGACCAAGTGTATCTTCAAGATGGTTGCTTATTATATGGCTGCCAGCGCCAGAGGGCAAGATGAGCACATCTTGCCCCCTTCGGGCTTGCCTGATTTGATCCTGCGCGAGAAAAAAAAAGTTGTATGGAGCGGACTTACAACCTTCGTAAGTTTGTTGATTCAACAAACTATGTAGATCCGAAGTTATGATCTTTTCTGTTCTTGCTGTGTGAGGTCGTGACACTACAAGAGTCAAAAAGGAAGATAAGCATCTCAAAATAATTTCACAGTGGCATTTACCGTCCCATAGCTTGCGTCAAAACTTTTCAATATATATGTGATCTGCACATCGTGGAAGCCGTGAGACTTTTTACCGTTTAAATCAGTGACTCAAGCTAAAACAAGCTGCTAAATTTGCGAAGTGAGCAAGCTGCGGAATACGGTGCCTTGAGTTATTCAGCTGAATGGTAAAATTGAGGAACGATGGAACAGAGGAGTGGTGGATCGGCTTAAGACGCAGAGTGACGGAATATCCTAAGACGCGGAACGCCTTTTTATACAAAGCAAAAGTCCCAACGAAAGACAAAGGAGAACTACAATAAAATAGGGAAACTATTTGGAATTAACAGGCATGATTAAAAGAAGCATAGGCAATCACTGTCAGAGTACAGAAGATTGGGGAATCAGCAGGTTTTCGAGATAGACCCTTAAAACTTTTATTATATTGCTATTATTATCATTATCGTTGTTACTGTGAATACTATAATTTGTTACCATTTAATTAGTGGTTGAATTTCAGTTAGACAATATATTCTTGAATCATCTTTCTCTTGTGGAACAGGATACTCATAAAGGCCTACTCTGGGGCCTAAAGGCGCCGTAACTTTGGGCGACTTTGGGCGATTTAAGGCGACGTAAGTGTCCCTGTCTGAGAAAGTGTTCCAGGGGCCAAATTGGCCAGCATGACCATAAGCTGACGTGCTGCAGTGAGCACCGTCCAGGTGACTTGTGATCCATCAGAGATCTTAGGTACTTTAGAACTGAATGAATGAAACTATCCAACAAAGAGGGAGTCCACAGTCAGAAGAGCTGGATGACAAAAAAAATTATTGCTGTTTAAATGAAATATTCCACATGAGACATGAGATGATGCCAATATATAGGGCCCGCCATTTTGGACGTGAGAGTACTATGACTGGACCGAGTTTCCATTCCTCCCCCTATTCAGGCGTAAATGTTTGTGTCCTTATCAAGTATTAAAAGTATAGCGATAAGAAGTTTCAGGATAATTTTACGATGGCGCGTTGTTCCTTTGGAAGGGTAAATGATCAGTGCGGTGCCGCTTCATGGGCTCTGTACGAAACAGGAATGACTCCTTGTTGTCTTGCGATAATTAAATGATCACTTGATTAAAACACAAGTACAAGGGGTTAGCTGAGTCGAGGGCGAGAGGAAGATCTGGTGATGCCAAAGCTACAAGTACAGGTAATTAAAAACATCAGAAAGGGCTCATACACGCACATAAATGTAGCAAATGGCTTTTTTAGTGCCACCTCGCAAACAGCGGTCCTCCCAACTTTTCGTCCGAAAAAATTCCCTTAATTTTTTCCTATGAAAAAGGTTTAGGACACATGTTTCAAAAACAGTTTGGTGGGTTTCCAATTCTCTTTTGTATGCAGATTTCAACTTTTGGAAACTCTCTGCTAAGGGAAGATTAGCCTAGGTGTTGCAAAAGCAAAAACTCAGTCAACTACGGTCATTGTGCGAGTTTTTTCACGTTGTGCTAATCATAAGGCATTGTTTTATGAACCCCTTCTACAGTAAGCAAATAGCCCATTTCCGAATTACCCTTGGCCTCATTTTCTAAACTAGTCCTGGTGCTCATCCTTTCATATGGTAATAAGTTTTCATTCACATGCAAATTAAACTCATTTTCACAAGAATGGTTGAGCACCAGGCCTCGTTTTGAAAATGAGGCCAAGGGTAATATTCGGAAATGGGCTATTCCTGTGATTGCCGCAAGTGATGGTCATGCAAACCCGCGTTACTCAAAACTCAGCGAAGGATGCGTGACTCCTCGACTTGGTCCAGTCCTCTCACTTTCAGGTCCAATATGGTGAGTCAGTCGATACAATAACAATCGCATCTCGAGGTGTTGCATGGCAGGTTTCATGTGAATTGCCGTCATGCGTATTTACAAGAGCTAGCAAGGCTATCAAAAGTTAACCATAGATCCTCTGTTAACGGTCGTTTTCGTTAAGCTCACTTCATATTGCATCAAAAAATGGGCCTGACAAAATATAGAGACTTTGCATGCTTGTGAGTATAGTGTATGGAAATATGACCTGAAAAACATAAATTAGAGGGAATTCAAGCATCTTTAGAAAATATTGTCATATCTAGGTCATGACATCATCAATTGTGCTCTATGATGGGTACAAGGTTTTCAAAGATAAAAAATTACCTTTATTTTGCTAAACCGCAGGGTGTTTGTAGTGCTAATCAAAGGCCTTCTCAGAGAAATTGTAAGCTATGAGTCGAGGTCCTTTTAGATAATGAAACTGATTTGGCTTTAATGTCTCATTTTCACTCACCAAATACAAAATAAAGACTTTATGTCAAGACTTTGGTCTGTTTATAGCCTGAATTATGCTCAAAATTCCATTTTGCTTAGCCTTAGAGGGGCATGGAGAGTTTGTGCCAAAAACCTAACAAGCCTTAATAAGCCAAATCTTTTTCAACTGATTTTTATAAATGGATCACTAAAGTACATACTGGATTTTGGGTAGTGATTTTGACCTCAAATTTGACCTAACTCTAGCCCCATGGGCCTATCTGTCTAATCACTTGAGAACAAAGTTACATTTATGAAGTAAAAGCTCCACTATAGTAGAATCCATGCTCAAATTCATTTGGCAGCAAAATTTACCAATGGAGTTTTAAAGCACTTTCAAAATGCCACCTAGAAGGATGAATTTTTGGTGCACCATAGGCCACAAATGGGACCCCCCTTCTGAAACTCCAGAACAGAGAGTCAGAGAAGTGAGCCAAATTGGCTTTTGAAACATCTTTTCACGCTCAACTTTTGTGCCAAGTTTTAGCCAAATCGGATGACCACCAGTTTTGGCCCATGGAACACTTTCACAGACAGGGGTACTTAGGGCGACTTAAGCAAAATTGACAAAAACAAAAAAAAAAACATTGCGACTTTTGGCGATTTAAGGTGACTTAAGGCAACGTAAGGTGACTTAAAGCGATTTTATTTGACTGAAGTGATAAAAGGCGTCTTAAGGCGACTTAAGGTCCCAGATAGAGTAGGCCTTCATAAATATGTGGGACGTTGCAGGTTTTCTGTTTTGCATCTGAGACAAATCCTCTGCAACACTACCCTTTAGCAACATTAAACAGCCTCTATTTCTTTTCAATTCTATAAAAGTTTGTGCTATAGCAGAAGCCATATGCAGTCTTAAGCTGCCTATTTCTTAGGTTTTTAGTAAATACGACTGATTATCAAGGTGACCTTAGCCCATGATCTGAGCTTAAAAGCAGCCTCGTGCAGAACGCTTTCGTTAGTTTCACTCGTACTTCAAACGGATCAATACTCACTTTTAAACGGGCAAAACAAATTTCTCCAGCATGTTTGATAAAACAGGATATTTGGCTATTTGATCCGTTTCAATAGTAAAGTAGTTTCAATTATGGGGGAGACAACTTAAAAACCATAGACTTCATTCTTACAGTTCAAATGAGTGAATATTTATTAAACAGAACGCCATACACAATAATGAAAAATACCAAGGGCAAACTCTTGTGTGGTCCACTTTTTGATGTTGTTGACCTCATATCTAAAACATCTGCGTGGGGCACGTAAAAGCAGTTTAGATTTCATAAATCTAACATCATCATGAAAATATCGAGTGTCGGGTGTCCGGTGTCCAGTGTCCAGTGTCGAGTTTGATGTCAAGACTGTCAGTTTATATTTAATTCATGCACAAAGCTTCAGTAGGCTTAACCTGCACACACATTATCTTTTCCATGCAACTGAGATTTGACTTATAAGATCATTTAATTTGATAACATGCTCTTAAAATAACGCAGTTGTATGCAGAATTTTAAAATGAAGTTTGAACCAAGCTTTACCTAAAAATTGAGCCAGTAATTTAATTCAATTGGGCTTCTACCATGAAAATTCCTTGCATTTGTCCGAAAAGAGATGTGTAGTGTGACTTGTTAGACTGCCTTTTTCGAAAATTGTGTACAGTAATTCATAGCCCTCAATGCATCCTTTATCTGTTATTTAGAGTTCCTATCGATTAAATTCTGCGCGTTTGAGATGTTTATGAAACCAAAGACTGGCCAAAACTGGTCCAACTTCCGTCCAGTTGTATGTTGGTAAAAAGGTACCCAAGTTAGACTTCGATCATCAATTTATTGATCTATTCATCAAGTGCTTTTATCAAAAATAATTGTCAAAAACTTTGTGACACATTGCAGTTTCTCAAATAATATTTCCCCAGTATTGATCAGAATGTTGTCGCCTCGTCGGAGAAGGAAAAGGTTCGGACCTTCCTATGCTCTCGAGTATCATTTTCTGTCCACGATTAGAACAGTTGGTTTGGTTCCAAATTCTTCCGAGAGATGCACGGTGTTCCAGTCACTCGCTTGTGTTCTTTCAAGATTTTGCAATAAAGCTGATAATTTTTGGAACGATGTAGTCATGAAAAGATTCAAGACTCAAGAGAGAATATTCTGAAACCTTTATTTTGTGGTGTTTTAGTAGTTCTGGCTATTTTTACCTTTATGTGTGCCGGCTCGATCAAAAAGATATTTGGACATATGATTAGCTTTCAGCAGATAAATAATTTGCTTGTCTTTGGCACCGTGGATTTAAGTCTTCCTCTTAAATTCCTTCTTGTATATTTAAAATAAATTCGGAATAAACTTTTAAAAGAAAAGAGATAGGAGACAACATTTTGTATAAAATGATGATACTTTTATTTTTATCACTAGTTGTTTGAAAGGTTCTTTCCCTTTCTTTACAATTGAAAAGTGATTTCCATCTAAGAAGAACCTATTAATATGTTCCCTTCACTCGTCATTTTTTCGCTATGGCTGAGAAGCCACGTGCATCTAGGCATCATTGTCATCATCAAAAATATTTATGAATTGCTAGAAAAAGAAAAGAGAGAAAAAGTGTTATTGGGAGAGACGATAAAAAAAAAGACAAATATTATTTTTTCGGAAATAAATGCATCTCTAATACGTTAAAAACGCAAAGAAAGTCTCTTTGTGTGTATGAAAATGTAAGCAGAGTGATAGAAAACTTTATATTTAGGATCATATATGAAGATGTCGGTCAGGATTACAAATTATTTTTTACTTCATCCAAAGCCAGGGCAGCAACAGCGCTTTCCTATTGGGCAGACGCCATGATATGGACATTCCACAGGGAAGTAGTTAGGACAGATCTCATTCAAGTCCACACATGACCACTTCCAGGTTTAGAGCCGCAGATGACGTCTGTAAGGTAAAATAAAAGAGATGTCGGTATTTTCTGATCCTTAAAGCTAATATAACTATATGACTTCAGTTGATTGAAGACAAAAACTCACACGGCTGACGTTTGAAAAAAGAGCGTAGTTGGGTCCTGTGCCTCTGGGTTTTGGCATGGCGTGCACCCAATACTTCAATTACTCCCAACAAAACCAGGATCAAACACAAACGAAACATGGCAGTCATAGCTATCTATGAGACAACAATGAACGAAATAATCTGGATTAGACAAAATCTTCAGATGAAGCAACAGAGTCTGGTAAACGAGGGAAGAACGAATAGTAACTGCCCCACTGACCTCCGCTCGAATTCCAGTTGCAAAAGATTTTGTAAATAACGTACGGAAAATTAAACACACTGTTCGAGATTCAGAGCATTTCTGATAATCTAGAGATATTTGCTAAGCTATAAGATGGTTATCGATCTGATCAAGGAGGCTTGAAGTCTATTGTGTACTTGAGTGGTTGTCAGTGAGTCTTTGTTTGTGAGTGCTTTAACACGGCGTCCTTTTACAGCACCTGTCAACTGCACCATTGAACGCGTGTATTCAACTAGACAGTCTAGATGCGTCTAAACGACATTCTGCCTCTTTAACCTACATAATGCCTGGGTTTAAGGCTAGACATAAGAGATTAAAAAATATGTTCTGAAACCTGAATTTTGTGGTATTTTGGGATTCTGATGATCTAAAGATATGCGCCAAGCTGTAAGATGGTTATTAATCTGATCAGGGAGGCTTGAAGTCTAGTGTGTGCTTGAGTGTTTGTCAGTTAGTCTTTGTTTTTTAGCCCTTTAACGCGGCGTCCTTTTTACAGCACCTGTCAACTGCACCAATGAACGCGTATATTCAACTACACAGACAAGATGCTGGGCAATAGAAACAGGACAGGAATGTCAGTGCAAATGTTGAGGCTATTTAACCAAGTAATCATTAACTGGAGCATATTACGTCAAATGTGTTATAATTATAAGATCTCAAAGATGTACAGCATCAGTCACTTTTTTTTGTTTGTGGACCCAATGAACCGAACCCGCTTCAATCTACCGACGCTGTTCTGAGAAAAGGCGACACAAAGTTACTCGCGTGAGACTACAATAAGTGGCTATGGTTGGAAAAGCCACCCACGCATCATTCTCGTTATCATAAAGATTATAATTCGTCGCTGGAAAACAAAGAGCTATAAGATGTTTATTGATATGATCAAAGTGGCTTGAAGTCTCTTGTGTGCTAAGTTAATGGTCAGTAAGTCTTTGTTTGTGAGTGTTTTAACGCAGCTTCCTTTTGCAGCTTCTGTCAACTGCTGCAATGAACGCGTCTATTCAACTAAACAGCCTAGATACGTCAAAACCACATTTTGCCTCTTTAAGCTGTTTAAAACAAGTACCTGTCGACATAATCAGTCGAGAAGAAGGACCCATTTCGAAGCTCCCTGGCTTGTAAAAAAATGCCTATACCAATGAATTAGGTCCAAGGTTTTGAAAATAATGGAAGCTGTCTTATTGACGTGTAGTTCAAACTTCAAGCCCAAAATGAACACAAAAGCCAAGTCAAAACCCCCCTAGACATTCATTATTTTTGTTTATTTTGTTTGTTTGTTTTTTTCTTTAAAGGAAGGGAATAATTTGTCTATTATGAATCATGATCATTTAAAAGTTCTACATAATATCTTATCCCAACTTCATGGATCAATATAGCTCTTTTGTTACGGTTTATATCGACTCATTTTTCAGTGCGTTTGAGACTTTGGAAGCTCGGTTCATGCTATATTTCATATATCGGATGCACATAAAACATTACAACAGCCAATATACTGATACGGTCCTCGCTTTTTAAATCTGTTGTTGGTCATAATGTAAAAAAGCAACTTATTAATGTTTTCATCGAGTGATGTTGTCAAAACTATTAATAATTAACGACCCTGGGACTGATCAGCTGTTAAAAAAATTGAGTTTGTTGCGATGCATAACCCAATACTAAAGTTTTCTGAGTTTTCTCTGGAACGTCAAATTCTAGCTATTAAAAATAACCGGATACGTGAGTCCCTAATGTGATTCACCTCGTGTGTTGTATATTAGATATTTATGAGACGGAAGTTAAAAGTTAGACAAGGAAAGCTATAGGATATATAGTAAGTTAAAATTAATTATATCCATCTATGGATCTTAGTCGGACAGCCATCCATCCTGAAATCTTAACCTGCAGCTGCGGTTTTTTCAAGCTTGGCTTTCCAATGCCCCCGAGTATCACTTTCGGTCCACGATTAGAACATTTAGTTTGGTTCTAAATTCATTCGAGAAACAAACTTTCTTTCGAGATGTTGCAATAAAGCTGAACTTTTTCGGACGATGAAAACATGAAAAAAATAAAGAAAGAATTTTCTGAAACCTGAATTTTGTGTCATTTTGGTAGGTCCAGCTGGCATTCAGCTAAAACCCAATCTTGAGTGGTACCTTATAGGAAAAAATAGCAGGTCTGAAAAAAATAACAAGTCTCATACAGTAAGTAATGAAGTACACTGGGCAATAGAAACAGGACAGGAATTTCAGAGCAAATAATGAAGCTGATTTAACCAAGTCATCACTCTTCAGTTTCAACCTTGACTTCAGCATATTATGACAAATGTGTTACTTTAAAATCTCAAAAATACATGGACCCAATGAACCGAACCTGATTTAGTCTACCTACACTGTTCTAAAAGAAGCGTCACAAAGTTAACGTTACTCGCGTGAGACTACAGTAAGTGAATTTCCGATTGAGGGATTTTTTACTCTGCCAGACATTTATTTGTCACATCAATAATTCAGGGCGTGTTCTGCATATTTTTAAATTCTATTGCTCGAGTATTGATCAGTACTTTGTTTTCTCTCGGGAGAAAAAAGATTTATTCAACAAATTATCAAGTT